GATGAACAACAGAACCTTACAAACGACGGGGCACATTATACGCAGGACCTTATTGAAGATGGGGACGAGTATCGAACCATCCCAAGGTGATGGAACATACACCTTCAGTCAGACTTCTGAGAACAAAGCAGTAAGTCCTCGAACCAGCGAATAGCCGCCATCTTTAAATAGAGCAGGAGGTAAGCTATCTAGGCCCCGTGCTTTATGGTACTGCAAGAAGCGGAGTTCCAGAGAGATTTCCCGGTGAGAAGCAGAAACTGTGTGGACAGACCAATCAGCACCAATGAGCGATCCAGAGGAAGCAGATGGGTTTCCTGGCTAGCACAACGCCGAGCCAAAGTGTTCAGCACATTGTTCCAACCGTTGCTGAAGAACAGTGGGCCATCCACTTCGCAGATCGTTTCCCTTACACCATACCGTAAATCATCGGTGGCCCGGATAAGATGGTAAAGTTTTCTGGAATTACCAGAAATCTTCAACGAATCACGGGCAATGCTGATTTTCAGCAAAGCAAATATTCCCACTGCATTCAGATGAATCAAGACCAGAAATCAGTTCAGGGTTAAGATTTCTTTTCGGTAAACTCTCTTCAGACCCAAACGTTTACATAACACTGATTGTGTGGGGTAAGCATCAAAGCGGTCTGGGTTTGATTTCTATGCCATTTGAACGGTCCAGATGGATCACCAAATGCAGCTACAGATGGCAAGAAAAGTGTGACAAAGGAAACTTAGTTCACAAGCCTGAGCAGCCTAAAGTAAATAGGTAAGGTCATGAAGGGAATTAAGTAACCATGTCACTCGGCCACGGTAGTAGTATCAACCTTATGAATCGTTTATGTACACATAAATCCGGCTTCAGATGATGGATGTAAATAGCCTCCGCGATAGACAAGATTTGTTTTCGGAAGCCTTGCGAGAAGCGTTCAGGTAGTGAGTAGATGACTTTAAATTCAATCTCAGATGCCGTATGACCACATTCGAGGAGGTGCGACATGATTGAACTGTTTGAGGACCTCATTTCGCCTTTGTACAATCACGCCGGGATGTGCTCGCAAATCCTCTGGATAGACGTCTCGTTGTGCACCACAGCAGCATGAGTACTGATAAACGATCATTGAACGGGTCAACGATGGCAGACTATCTCAAGGGTTTTGCAAGCAATGGCTTGTTGTGGTAAGCAATTCTTAAGCGGACTGCGAAATAAGTTTTCTTAACAGCATCTTTCAGGCGTCGAGATAATAGATCAGTGGCAGTATCGCCTCTTTTTTAGGAGCAATGCTCCTAGGTGGCTTTCGCTTTCGTTCTTTCAGATGCTTCATGATAAACTTATCGGGGTAACCATTTTCATGAAGGGATTCGCTGATTCTCTGTAGCTCTTCGTTAACGGTATCCGGAGTGCAAATACTGCGACCTGAAGGCAAGAGATCGGATTAAACTCCTCTTGTGTTGTAAAGACACTGCGTTCTGAAACATAGTGTACTGTCCAGTCCACGCATGCTTTTTGTATACCTTTCTGCCACATGAGCCGTCCGAGTTGCGGATGACTCTTACTTCTGAGAAAGGTAATCGGTTTCGGGTTTTCGTGCTCACAGTTGAAGCGTAGATTTTCATGTGCATCATTAAAGGCCTTAAGCAACTGTTCTGCATGCTTATTGGATTCGCAAAGCACGAAGGTGTCCTCGACACACCGTACGTACATTTCAGTTCTACAGCTGTACGTCCTCAGTGGGCCATGTTCTAACTTCGCCATAAAGATGTCAGCCAAGAACGGCACCGAAGGAGATCCCATTGCCACTCCATCAGTCTGACGGTACATCTCACCATTGAACGTGAATTGAACATTTAACGTGCAGCGAAATAGTATCTCCTTTGGCAAATCCTCCGGAAAAGTAGCGTATATTGGTAGTTGCCGGGTCAACTCGCACACGTAATCCACCGTTTCGAGCAGTGGAATGTTTGTAAACAGCGACTGGGCATCAAAAGATATCATCCTTTTGTTAGTAAAGTTGAGTCCAGATATCTTCTCAATGAATTCGAAGGAGTCTCTCACGCAGTAAGTGCAAACCATATCCCGTAACGGTTGCAATTTGTTCACCATCCATTGGGCCAACAAATGCTGGGGAGAACCCACCATGTCCAAGATTGGACGCATTGGGGCGCCTTCCTTGTGAACTTTAGGAAGGCCATATAATCTCGGTAGGTGTCCACCTGAAGGCTTCAACTTTTCGAATTCGCTCTTTGTGATAAGTTTGGCTTGCATCATTCGCCTGAGGCAGCCGGTCAACTGTTTCTCTAACTCCCCTGTGTTGTCCTTTCCGGCCATAAGCTTCTGGAACTTACGTTCGTCACTGAGGATGTGCTGCATTTTACAGATATAATCCACCCTATCTAGTAACACTATGCCGGATCCCTTGTCTGGCCTAGAGATAATTAATTCGTTGTTTAACCGTAACTCTTTAATTGCGTGAATTTGCTCCCTTGAAATAATACCATTATTAGGTGGTTTGGCCTTAACATATTCATGACAACTATTCACTAGACAAGATTTTAGGTTCTCAACGTCACTAGAAGCTATTGGAAACAGGTTTCTAGTTCATACCATTAGGCTTTCAAACAGCACTTCTAAAACTGCCTGATCGATTTGCTTACATGGAATACAAAACTTGGGGCTTAATGATAACGCTTCCAGCTGTGTCGGACTTAGTACTACACTGGAAAGTTTGAACACATACCGTTCCGGGTTATTTGGAATGGTCAATTGTGGGACCTGGTTGTTAAGCGTACTAAGTAATTTCCTACGCTTTCTTACTCCCATTTTCAGCTTAAGCAATTCCGCATATTCCTCAAAAGGCTGTCGCAGATCCTCAGACAAGCTTAACACCGCTGGAAGCCTTTGCGAAGTGAATCTCGCCAGCTCCGACAGTTTAACGCGGATGGTGTCCACATAATTGCACTTACTGCGTGAGAGACTCCTTCGAATTCATTGAGAAGATATCTGGACTCAGCTTTACTAACCAAAAGATGATATCTTTTGATGCCCAGTCGCTGTTTACAAGCATTCCACTGCTCGAAACGGTGGATTACGTGTGCGAGTTGACCCGACAACTACCAATATACGATACTTTTCTGGAGGATTTGCCAAAGGAGATACTATTTCGCTGCACGCTAATTGTTCAATTCACGTTCAATGGTGAGATGTACCGTCAGATTGATGGAGTAGCAATTGGATCTCCTTCGGGGCCGTTCTTGGCTGACATCTTTATGGCGAAGTTAGAACATGGCCCACTGTGGACGTACATCTGTAGAACTGAAATGTACGTACGGTATGTCGTCGACACCTTCGTGCTTTGCGAATCCGATAAGCATGCAGAACAGTTGCTTAAGGCCTTTACTGACGCACATGAGAATCTACGCTTCACCTGTGAGCTCGAAAACGGAAACCGTTTACCTTTCTTGGATGTAGAAGTCATCCGCAACTCGGACGGCTCATGTAACAGAAAGGTACACAGAAAGCATACGTGGACTGGACAGTACACTATGTTTCAGAACGCAGTGTCTTTACAACACAAGAGGAGTTTAATCCGATCTCTTATCTGCAGAGCGCGCAGTATTTGCACTCCGGATACCGTTAACGAAGAGCTAGAGAATCAGCGACGCCCTTCGTGAAAATGGTTACCCCGATAAGTTCATCATGAAGCATCTGAAAGTACGAATGCGAAAGCCACCTAGGAGCATTGCTCCTAAAAAAGAGGCGATACTGCCACTGATCTATTATCTCGACGCCTGAAAGATGCTGTTAAGAAAACTTATTTCGCAGTCCGCTTAAGAATTGCTTACCACAACAAGCCATTGCTTGCAAAACCCTTGAGATAGTCTGCCATCGTTGACCCGTTCAATGATCGTTTATCAGTACTCATGCTGCTGTGGTGCACAACGAGACGTCTATCCAGAGGATTTGCGAGCACATCCCGGCGTGATTGTACAAAGGCGAAATGAGGTCCTCAAACAGTTCAATCATGTCGCACCTCCTCGAATGTGGTCATACGGCATCTGAGATTGAATTTAAAGTCATCTACTCACTACCTGAACGCTTCTCGCAAGGCTTCCGAAAACAAATCTTGTCTATCGCGGAGGCTATTTACATCCATCATCTGAAGCCGGATTTATGTGTACATAAACGATTCATAAGGCTGATACTACTACCGTGGCCGAGTGACATGGTTACTTAATTCCCTTCATGACCTTACCTATTTACTTTAGGCTGCTCAGGCTTGTGAACTTAGTTTCCTTTGTCACACTTTTCTTGCCATCTGTAGTCGCATTTAGCGATTCATCTGGACCGTTCAAACACCTTAGAAATCAATCCCAGCCCGATTTGACGCTTACCCCACACAATCAGTGTTATGTAAACGTTTGGGTCTGAAGAGAGTTTACCGAAAAGAATTCTTAACCCTGAACTGATTTCTGGTCTTGATTCATCTGAATGCAATGGGAATATTTGCTTTGCTGAAAATCAGCATTGCCCGTGATTCGTTGAAGATTTCTGGTAATTCCAGAAAACTTTACCATCTTATCCGAGCCAGGATCGTCATTCTTCACTAGAGCTAGAATAGTCCGGAACCGAGCGGCGTTGGTCTATCAGCGATAAATGTGAGCGCACCAGTGCTCTGCATCAATGCGGCATTGCTACGTAGCCATCAATACAGCGGAACGAAATGCAAGCAATTAATTGGAAAAGAGAAGAGGAAAGTAATGCGATAACAATTAATCGTATAACCATATCATCATCCATTAACTGAAACTAAGGACACCCTAGCTATTGTGCTGAAATACAAGAAGATAACATGTGTGAAAAAGCGAGCCAAAGGAATCAAGACATCGTCTATTGATAGGTAGCAATGCATGGTCACGTGAAGAGCGGAATCGGCAGAAAAGCTTCCTTGCAGTTTTCGTACTTGTGGAAATAGATAGAAAAATAGCATAAGGTTAAGATCATACCATATCATCGTCCGAAGTAACGTTCCCGTCCTTGGAGTATGAGAATCCGACACCGACAGGAGATTCCAGGTACAAGATATTGGCAAACTGATTGACAGAAAAAAAACCAACTGTGATGAAATAGCAAATGTAAACTAGTAGGGCAGGGAGAAAAACTTGCAGCAACTCATCGCAGAATGTGCAAGAAAGAAGTAACAAATGGTGTCTCAGGTTAGATGATGGACTCACTTTATTCCAAGACCAGAGATTCTCTTCAAGATGTTTTGCGTCTACTAGCTAAATTGGAGTGAGAAAGAATAGAGGTAAAAATGTCATCGAAAAAGGAGACAGCCCGACGGAAAAGCGGATTGGAGCACGATGCTCTCAACAAGTGAACCAAAAGAACTAGATGAATAATCTGAAGTGCCAGATGGCCGGTAGCCAAAGTTGCAGACGTTTCGGCTACTATTCCAATGGTCGCGTGTTCTAGACCTGATGAGATGAAATAACATCGAAACGTGTCGTGGTTGTGCAGTTTTCGGGCGGGCAACACCTAATTTCCATGTGCTTCGGCAACGGTCCCAGTGATCGAAGTGACCAAGTTACACTTCAATGTGAATCGCGGTTGACATTGGAACTGCGCGTCGCAATCCAAACACACAGCGTGCAATCCAAAATTCGCCCTTCAAAAACAAAACGTATTTTCAACCATTGCAGTTCAGTATGTCACTACTCAACGATCAAAATCGCGTGGAGAACCTTAGTGCTTTGGTCGCTGTCACCATTAGTACGGTAGTCATCAGAGGTAGAAAAAAAAGAAAAACTAAGAAGTTTGAAATTTTGAAAACCAAAGGAACTGGAGACTGGATATAATTAACCTCGCAAGCAGTTCTGGTACCGGTGGCCTGTCTGGAAGCAGCAGTTTGTAGACCTCATGAACGTACATTTAAGTATTTCTCGAAGGTGTGAGACATGGACCAACTACATCGTCTGATCAATATGTACAACATAATCGGATGATAGAGAAGAAATCTTGAGTTTTACAAAGGGAGGTTTATAGGGAGTTCAATTGGTTAAAAGTGGTAAGAATGCGCAAAGTAGAGCATAAAAATAAGTGCAGGTATAGCCAGCAGTGCAAAAAAGTAATACGACCATCCATGGAGACGGCTCCTGGGGACCTGCTTCCATGCGGGGTAGTCACTCGATCCGTTGTGAGCACCAGCGCAGTGGTTATATACCCGGTGCAGAAAGCAACATCGGCCGCACAGCAATGGCACGTATGCATTAGGAAGACCGGTAAATAATCTATCGTCTTCATAGATGCCTCATGGGCCTTATTCATCCGTATAGAGTTGATCACTAGATGGACAATTTAGGTGACGAGCAAATAGGATAAAAGTTAGGCCTTTGTTGAGGCTGTAGCAGTGAGGACGAGTACATGAATTAGTGTGTAACTGGAATCCACTCACAATGACTGCGTAAAAAGATCGACTTCAGTCAAAAGAATTCGTAATCCAGTGAGCACCAGGTGGTGCGAAGAAAATGCATGCGTAGAAAGGCGGTGTCCATGGTGCAAACATTGTAGTCAGCACATATTGTCGGATGTATATTTCTCTGATGGTAACCGACATTTGTGAGTCCCAATTTACTGTGAGTTGTACATTTTTTACGATAGAACGTGAAAACTTGAAAGGTGCCTACAGGTTATAGAACTTTGCTTAGTACATGTTCTTGATCAAATTTTGATGGTTGTACGGATTTAAATTTCTACTTGCTACCATAATGCAGTATTCAGCACACAAGTGGAGAGACCGATCACCATTGCCAGTACTATGAGCATCGACTACAAAACAGTCGCCTATGCGTCATTTGGTCTCTGGCAAGCTGATCACGAGCAGGCACGTCCCATGTAAGGAAAGAAACATTCATGGTAGTATACACGAGGATAGAATAGTTGTCTTCGACGGTTGGGGGGGGGTGAATAAACTTAATCGGGATAGGATATTAACAGATAGATGAAGGACACCGAATAAGGGAACGTCACCGACGATGAGACTGTCAAGTCTGGTAGGACCCCCAACCACTTATGCGGTCCAGCCCGAGGCCCCCTTCACTAAGACAGTAGCTACTAGCTCGACCAAGTCTCTCAGTCAGTTTCTTCAATACGCTGAAGAAGACGGTCGACGATCATTGGGGCATAGGAAATTGCCAACCTAGGAAGTTAATTTAGCAGATACTGCAACGAGGAACCAATGTTTCTCCCCAAACAGCAACCGATGGATTGCAGGGAATGCTCACCCGGTGGTTCCACCACATGTGAGCAATACTCCACAAGCACTAGTAAATAAAGAGAACCAATTTAATGCCATAGGCGGGGTGTAATAATATTTCGGATCCAGACAGTAAAACTGGCCACTGGGATCTGGGTACGGTCAACGAGTATGAATCAAGGAGTAATTCCTTTGCACGCGCATCGTGGAATCAACAAACGGAATATGAGGGAGTGCGAACTAGTTGAGACGGCGCGAACATTGAAAGACCACATGAGACCAAAAATACAATTGGGTTCCCCATTTATGTGACTAAACGGCTCGTAGGCCAAAATAAAATAAGATGTGTAAATGCTTTGTCCGAATTTCCGATTCCGCCTCTTGGTTCTGAAGCATATTCCGGAGGGTTCAACGGCAAAGGACAAGCTCAGGAATATGATTGTGGCCGCGTTATACGACAATCCTGAGATCAGGTGATAACGCGGGTTGTCAGCTCGCTGACCAGGGGCTGCTTGGATTTAAGTGCGAAAAAGTAACCAGATAAGCAAGGTGCATATCGGTCTCACTTTAAAGGAAGCTGTTGTGATGTTGCTCTACATCGAACTAAGCCTAGAGCCCGTGAATTGTTGTCTCTCATGAATGAGAATAGAAGGAAGGAGCAAGCGGTATATTCTCTCCGTATCCTTCTCTGAGAATGATGTGATCGAGCTATTATAATCTCTAACCACTGGGTTGTATGAGAAGCGATAGGAACTATTAGAAGGTGTCATACAAACGCAGTTCAATCTGTTCAATATAGTGTTGCTAACTAATGGACGGAAGATGGATTCAGTTGGATGCGAGTTAGTGGAAGAGAGAAAGGCGGTAGTCACAGCGAAAGGTAAGCCAAGACTGGAAATGGTTGGCAAGAAAACGGGCGGGTGGTCTGCGTTTGGTGTGAACTACGGAAGATAGAAGGTAAATAGACTGATATCCCGAGAATTTGAGAACAAAACGGCGGCAGTGTAAGTAAACGTTTTAAGAGATGAAGGTACATTTACTTTTAGTGCAAGTACGAAGCAAAACGTAGACAAACCTTGAATGGACCACATTCATCCAAAAGTCCTTCCATTGAAGAGCAACCAGGACCGCCATTGAGCCATAAAATTAATGGCGCCCTGTCCGAATTTTCAGAAGCTTCAATAAACCAATAATGCAGTTGAAAATTGTCGCTTGACCCCGTCAGATAACCGGAGAACTGGCCGAATGCTGGCTGACGAGAAAGACCTGGCAGAAAGTTGATGCGGTCATCTTCAGAGGAATCGAACGGCTTCAGATAAGCGCCGTCTTTCTGACAAATTAAAATGTTACTTTGCACAGAAAAGGCCAGAAATAAAACTATAAGTGAGGGCTTCTTCATGGCTCATCAATTGGTCTTGCAGACAGCGACTGCTGAAACACAGTAGGCAAACCGATTTTTGTTAGCATATGCGATAAAGCAGATTCAGTGTCGAGAATAGATTGAAAAATGGCCTGATAACATATTGCTGAATCTGAATACGTAGCAAAGATCTAACAGAATGCCGCACAAAAAAGTGGACGAAGAGCGCCATTTTGTAAAATGTAAGCATTACAGATGTGAATCACTCCTGCATAACTGAAGGACTAACGTTGATATTTCGGCAGTGAAAACGGATGCACACTAGAAATGAAGGTGTGTTGTACGACTGTTGGAGAAAGAAAAAGTACCGGGCTGCAGTCATGCAGAGAAGAAATGATATTCAACTTGTGGCGCACATCATACTGTAACATCTCACAACTGGTACGTGCACCAGTAAACCGCAAAATTTCATAGGCAGGAGAAGATCGGCTTTCGATGCAGTGCGAAATAACCGCTTGTCTTAGGGATCAAGTAGTCTGCCAGTGGTCGTGTTTCAAGGCACGCATCAATGACGAATCTATTGATGCCACCGCAAGGGAAGGTTCCAGCACGTCATCATCATCAGTCATATGAACTGATGCTTCGCTGCCATACAACCATAACGACCAACGGAACGAAAAACAAAAAGAGAGAAGAGGGATATACAGGAAAATCACAATGCCCTAAGTAAGCGTTTAGAGTCACAGCGCCTACCCCTTGTTCCAAAACATACCATGGCAGTCGGCTATCGTGCAAACATAAGGCGGCTTTCACTGCCCCGCAGATGACACAGAACAAAACACACTTCGAACAGGAAGTCGACGAGGTGACGGCAGCAGACGAGCCACTGGTGTCGACTGCACAAATACCATCCGATCAACTTCCTTTCAGTAATACCGCTATATATATATATATATATATGTGTGTGTGTGTCCGCCAGACTCGCCTTCACATCGTGCTGCTTCAGACAGTTCAAAGTAGGCCAGTCAATTGCTGAACAGTGGTTCAAGAGGCAATCAAAATGTTTCCGCCAGATCTGCATTATGTCTGCGGTCTAGGTTCAGGCAGCGCCCGAACTACCATCGGTTATCGTCCCCAGAGGCTCTATTCTCGGTCCAAACACCGCCTTCTACGCGAATACTTCTTCCGTTTCTGCAACTTTTACAATATTTGGCTAAAGGCATGCACTTAAATAGTAACGAATATTTTGCGCAACACACTTGCTTTTAAATTTTGATCATGCCTGAGTCGGCGTGCCTCAATAAAATCGAGAATAAAAGGTTTATTTAGTTAAATTTATTCCAGGCAAAGTAAACATTATGATCATCTGAGATCTCACAATGGCAACCTATCACAGCTGGACTCTAACCGCAAGTACGTAATTTAACTAGTAGCGAATAAGCAAGAAGGCTCGTCAGCCTGGCACACAGTATACTGAAAACTTAACGGTTTACATGTGAACACGGAAAGTTAGGGTGTGTCCTTGAGTGCGTGTGTGCGTGCTTATCTACGTGTGTGTATGGGGCCAATCAGGTACACGGTCATAGTGAGCGATCATTGGTTGAACACGTAACAGTCCTCCCTGTTTTGTCTGACGTTACAGTCATGGCTGAAAACGTTCGATCGGTTTGCGAATCCAGGTCGATCGGCGTAATTGGGTTTCCCCTGTTGTTCTGTGTTCGCCGTGCTCTGCAGCTTGCTCTGCGATCTCGGAGTATGACTGACTCACGGCAGGTGTGTCAGTGCTCCTGGGGCGTACATGATCTCTGTGCCGGCGAACAACCCGGCCGTCCGGAAGCTGCAAATCGTTTTGACTTCCTGAAGAATCGAGCACAGTCGCCGGCTGCCAACATTGTTCATGCGGTAACCTGGTGTAAAAAGATTGATGGTCCTGAAATGTAACTTCCGGCTTTGATTCCTCTGAGGACAAACTTTTTCTGACGCTCCTGTACTTCAGCACGCGGGTTCGGGAACGACAACTGAAGCCTCGTTCTCAGATTTCTGTCGAACATCAATTCCGCCGGGGATTTCCCTGTAACCTCAGTGGGTGTAGAACGGTAGGAGAATAGGAACCGATCCAGTTTGGTTCGCAATGTTCCCGTTCGCTGCTTTAGTAAGCCTTGTTTCACAGTTTGTACTGCACGCTCTGCTAATCCGTTTGATGCTGGGTGATACGGGGCTGATTTAACGTGTTGGATTCCGTTGTTGGCGACAAATTTACCAAATTCGGCACTGGTAAAAGGCGAACCATTGTCTGTACAAATGGTTTCCGGAATGCCAAACGTAGCGAAGGACGAGCGCATTTTAGTGATGGTGGATTCGGCTGTCGCCTGAGTAACTGGATGTACGTCAATCCACTTAGAATGTGCATCAATAAGTAGAAGAAACATGGTCCGTCGATCGGTCCGAAGTAGTCGGCGTGGATACGCTGCCAGGGCTTATCGGGCCAACGCCAAGGGTGTATTGGACCTGGCGCCTTGCACCGCTGATACGCCTGAAAAATATCGCAATTCTTCAGTAAGTTCTCTATGTCTGAGTCGATGTTGGGCCACCAGCAGTACCCTCTCGCTAGTGCCTTCATTCTCGCCACACCTGGATGAGCATCATGGAGCTCTTTAAGTATCTGTGAACGCGCCTTGGTGGGAAGGACTAGACGAGAGCCCCAAAAAACACAGCCGTCGAATAGACTCAGTTCGTTCTTCCGAATCATAAAAGGTTGTAATTCAACTGTCCCTTCAGGAGGCCAACCCATGTTCAAAAAGCGTTTCACCATTGATAGCACGGGGTCTCGATCCGTCCATTGACGGATGGTTGAACTCCGTATCGGTGTTGTGTCTAGATGTTGCATTAGCTTAACCAGTTCAAAGGGAGGGTCGTGTGCATGTGCAGTTTCCATGATCGGCAGACGGCTGAGTGCATCAGCTGTGCAGTTGCTGATGCCGGTAATATAAACAATCTTGTAACTGTAAGCACTCAAGGTTATAGCCCATCTTTGCATCCTCGGTGATGCCATTTGTTGTATACCTTTGTTTTCCCCAAACAAGGATATCAATGGTTTGTGGTCTGTATGAAGCTCGAAAACCTTTCCCCATAAATACTGGTGAAACCTCTTAACTCCGAAGATAACGGCTAGCGCTTCCGTGTCCAGCTGTGAGTAGTTCTTCTCCGCCGTCTGTTAGGTGCGCGATGCATATGCTATGGGACGTAAAGTACCATCGTCCATGCGGTGGCACAGGACAGCCCCGACCCCCCAAGGGGACGCGTCGCACTGAAGTATGAGTGGCTTGTTATAGTCATAATGGACTAACGTTGGTGGCGAAGCAAGAGCTTGTCTTGCTTTATTAAAGGCTTTTTTGACGGTAACCCCAACACCACGATGCATTTTTGTGTAACAGCTCATTTACTGGCGATAGAACCGTCGATGCATTAGGCAGGAAACGGCGATAGTGAGATAGCATTCCGAAGAACGAACAGAGTTCATCACAACTTTGTGGCTCTGGGCTTTCTAAAATAGGATTAAGCTTGTCATTTAAAACATGTAAACCGTGTCTATCAAGCCGGTATCCAAGGTAACAAACGGTAGGTGAAAGGAACTCACATTTAGACCTTTTCAATCTGGATCCACTTCGCTCCAAACGCTCGAGCACGACCGCGACTGTTCGAAGATGCTCTGTACCCGAGCGTCCAGAGATAAGAATATCATCCAGATAAGCACACGCAAAAGGAACGTCCTTCACTAGGTCGTCAATAATTCTCTGAAATATTCCGGGGGCGGAATTAATGCCAAAAGGTAAACAAGTATATTGAAATAGTCCCATGTGCGTGGTGATGGTAGTAAGTTTCCTCGAAGGTTCATCGAGTGCTATCTGCGAGTATGCATGACTCAGATCGAGTTTGGTAAACTTTTCACCACCAGCTAGTGTTGCATACAAGTCATCAATACGTGACAAGGGGTACCTGACCAGCATGGATGCTTGATTTATGGTTATCTTGTAGTCACCACAAATCCGTACGGAGCCGTCCGGTTTGGTTACTGGCACAATTGAAGTTCCCCAGTCGGAAAAGTGTACAGGAGTAATAATACCTTGAGTCTGTAGGCGGTTTAGTTCCTCTTCAACTTTAGGCCTCATAGCGTATGGTAGTGTGCGCGCCTTAATGCATTTTGGTCGAGCGCCTTCCTTTAGTTTTATCGCAGCCTGAAATTCTTTCAACTTCCCAAGCTCCTCGGAAAAAACAGCTGAATGTTGTTTAAGTAATGTTTTAAGTCCGGAGATCTCGGTGACTAATTTTACCACATTTATTGTATCCGGGAAGGCACGTATCCAGTCTCTTCCAAGCAGATTTGGACGATCCCCGGGAAGCACATATACAGGAAGTGTGCGCATTTTGTCGCCATACTGTGCCTTCACGAAGCATTTACCAAGGACACGTATAGCTTCATCGGTGTATGTACGAAGAACAGAATTGCAAGCGGATAAGTTCGGGAGCGTGTTTACAGCGTTTTCCCGGATTATCGTCACGGATGCTCCTGTTTCGACTTCCATCTGTACCTTTTGTCCTTCAATGTAATGCTCTAGAGTGTATGGCGCCGGCTGCATGCTAGAAACGGAATTAAGCCAAATGGAATGTAATTCAGGGTCACTACCATCAGACTCGTCCACGGTTTTGATGGGGTTTGCTCCTCGATAAGACCCACCTGAACGTCGCTTGACCGAGCTACACACTCGCGCCAGGTGGCCCACCTTCCCGCAGCTTCGACATACTGTCTTCTGATGCCGGCAGTCGGATGGACAACTGTGCTGCTCACCACAGCGATAGCACACAAACAACTTGACGCCAGTGGGTGGCATTGGTTTTGGTGTAGTGTTAATCAATCGCAGCTCATCTGACGAGTCCTTCAGCGTAAATGTTGCGAGTTGTTGTGTAAGGTGTTCCCTCTGCCGGGCAATCGAGCAGGCCGTCTCCCAGGTCAGTGAACAATCATCTTGTGAAAGGAGCTTCTCTCGCGTGCTCTGGTCTGAGATTTCGGCTAT